ACACATAGGGACTCACATAAACTTAAGGTAAAGGGAAGGAAAGAGGCATTTCATGCAAACGGACACCAAAAGCAAGCAGGGATAGCTATTCTTATATCAGAGAAAACAAATTTTAAAGCAACAGCAGTTAAAATAGACAAAGAGGGATATTATATAATGGTAAAAGGCGTTGTCCAAGAGGAAAAATATCACAATCCTAAACATATATGCATCTAACACTAGGGGTCCCAAATTTATAAAACAATTACTAATAGACCTAAGAAATGAGATATACAGCAACACAGAAATAGTGGCAGACTTTAATGCTCCACTGACAGCACAAGTCAGATCATCAAGACAGAAAGTCAACAGAGAAACAATGGATTTAAACTATACCTTAAAACAAATGGACTTAACAGATACATACAGAATATTCCATCCAACAACTACAGAATACACATTCTATTCAACAGCACATGGAACTTTCTCCAAGACAGACCATAAGATAGGCCATAAAATGAGCCTCAATACATTTAAGAAAACTGAAATTATATCAAGCACTCTCTCAGACCATAGTGGAATAAAACTGGGAATCAACTCCTTTGAAAGGAACCTTGAAAACAATGCAAATACATGAAAAGTAAATAACCTGCTCCTGAATGAGCAATGGGTCAAAAATGCAATCAAGATGAAAATTATAAAATTCTTTGAACTAAATGACAATAATGACACAACCTATGAAGATGTCTGGGATACAGCAAAGGCAGTGCCAAGAGGAAAGATCATAGGACTAAATGCCTACATCAAAAAGATGAAAGAGCACAAACTGACATCTTAAGGTCACACCTCAAGGAACTAGAGAAACAAGAACAAATCAAACCCAAACCCAGCAGAATAAAGGAAATTACCAAGATCAGAGCAGAACTAAAGGAAATGAAATCAAATGAACAGAGAGAAAACAATACAAAAGGTAAATGAAACAAAAACCTGGGTCTTTGAAAAGATAAATAAAATTGATAGACCATTAGCAAGATTAACAAAGAAAAGAAGAGAGAAAATCCAAATAATCTCACTGAAAACAAAACAGGAAATAATACAACTGACACCGCTGAAATACAAAAGATTACTCACATCTACGATAAACACCTTTATGCACATAAACTAGAAAACCTAGAAGAGATGGATAAATTCCTGGAAAAATGTAACACTCCTGGCTTAAATCAGGAAAATTAGTTACCCTGAACAGACCAATAACAAGCACCGAGATTGAAATGGTAATTTAAAAATTACCAACATAAAAAAGTTTAGGACCACAGACAGAGTCACAGCAGAATTCTACCAGACATCCAAAGAAGAGTCTTTTTGATACTATTCCATAAGATAAAGAAAGAAGGAACCCTCCCCAATTCATTTTATGAAGCCAGTGTCACTCTAATACCAAAATCAGAAAAGGGAATAACCAAAAAACAAACAAAAAAACTACAGACCAATATTCTTGATGAACATTGATGCTAAAATACTTAACAAAATCCTAACCACATTCATCAACATATCAAAAAGATAATCCACCATGATCAAATGGGTTTCATACCAGGTATGCAGATATGCCTTAACATATGCAAGTCAATAAATGTGATACACCACATGAACAGAATTAAAAACAAAAACCACACAATCATCTCAATAGATGTAGAAAAACCATTCAACAAAATTCAGCCTCTCTTTATGATTAAAACTCCCAGCAAAATCGGCATGCAAGGGACATATCTTAATGTTATAAAAGCTATCTATGACAACCTCACAGCCAACATAATACTGAATGGGGAAAAGTTGGAAGCATTCTCTCTGAGAACTGGAACAAGACAAGGATGCCCACTATCACCACTCCTCTTCAACACAGTACTAGAAGTCCTAGCCAGAACAATCAGAAAAGTGAAAGAAATAAAGGGCATCCAAATCAGTAAGGAGGAAGTCAAACTGTCACTGCTGATGATTGTTTATCTTGAAAAACCTAAGAATGCCTCTAGAAAGCTCCTGGAACTGATGAAATAATTCGGCAAAGTTTCCAGATACAAGGTTAATGTACATAAATCAGTAGCTCTTCTATACACCAACAGTGACCAAGTGAAGAATGAAATCAAGAGCTCAACCCCTTTTATAATAGCTGCAAAATAAAAATAAATAAAATACTTAGGAGAACACTTCACAAAGGAGTTGGAAGACACTACAAGGAAAGCTACAACATACTGCTGAAATAAATCATAGCCAACACAAACAAATGAAAACTAATCCCATGCTCATGCATGGATTTGAGTCAATATCATGAAAATGACCATATTGCCTAAGACAATCTACAAGTTCAACACAATCTCCAACAAAATATCACCATCATTCTTCACAGACTTAGAAAAAAAAATTCTAAAATTCACATGGGACCAAAAAAGATCCTGCATAGCCAAAGCAAGACTAAGCAAAAAGAACTTATCTGGAGTCATCACACTACTTGATTTCAAACTATACTATAAGGCTATAGTCACCAAAACAGCATGGTACTTGTATAAAAATAGGCCCATAGACCAGTGGAACAAAATAGAGAACCCAGAAATAAACCCAACTTACAGCCAACTGACCTTTGACAAACATAGAGTGTGGAAAACTTAAAGTGGGGAAATGAAGTGGGGAAAGGACACTCCATTCAACAAGTGGTACTGGGATAATTGGCAAGCCACACGTAGAAGAATGAAACTGGATCCTTATCTGTCACTCTATACAAAAATCAATGCATGATGGATCAAGGACTTAAATCTAAGACCTGAAACCATAAAGATTCTGGAAGATAACATTGGAAAACCCCTTCTAAATATTGGCTTAGGCAAAGACTTCATGACCAAGAACCCAAAAGCAAATGCAGTAAAAGCAAAGATAAATAGCTGGAACCTAATTAAACTGAAGAACTTTTGCATGGCAAAAGGAACAGTTAGCAGACTAAACAGACAACCAACAGAGTGGGAGAAAATCTATGCAGTCTATACATCTGACAAAGGAATAATGTCCAAAATCTACAGCAAACTCAAATCAGCAAGAAGAAAACAAACAATCCAATCAAAAAGTGGGCTAAGCAAAGACCTGGAACCAACCCAAATGCCCATCAATGATAGACTGGACAACGAAAATATGGTACTTGTATATATACACCACGGAATACTACACAGCCAAAAAAAAAAACAATGAGTTCGTGTCCTTTGTAGGGACTTGGATGAATCTGGAAACCATCATTCTCAGCAAACTGACACAAGAACAGAAAGACAAACACTGTATGTTCTCACTCATAGTTGGGTGTTGAACAACGAGAATACATGGACTCGGAGAGGAGCATCACACACTGGGGCAGTTGGAGGGGGTAGGGGAGAGACAGCGGTGGGTGGGGAGGGAGGGGAGGGTGGGGAGGGATAACATGGAGAGAAATGCCAGATATAGTATGCACCTAAAGTAAAATAAATAAATTTTTAAAATTTTTTTAAAAAGTGGGCTAAGGGCATGAAAAGACAATTTCCCAAAAAGATATACAGATGACCAACAACATATGAAAAAAATGCTCAACATCACTAATGATCAGTTAAATGCAAATCCAAACCACAGTGCAATACCACCTTACTCCTGTAGGAATGGCCATAATAAAAAAAATTAAAATGCTGTACTGTAGATATTGGTGTGGATATGGTGAAGAGGGAACACTTCTGCACTGCTGTTGGGATTGTAAATTAGTACAGACGCTATGGAAAACAATGTGGAGATTTGTTAAAGAACTAAAAATAGAACATCCTTTTGATTCAGTAATACCACCATGGGTATCTACCCAGAGGAAAAGAAATCATTATTCGAAAAAGATACTTGCACACACATGTTCATAGTGGCACAATTTATAATAGCAAATTCATAGAACCAACCCAAATTCCCATCAATCAATGAGTGGATAATGAAACTGTGCCATATATATATATATATATATATATATATATATATATTGGAATAAATTGAATGAATTAATGGAATTAACAGCATTTGCAGTGACCTGGATGAGATTGGAAAGTATTATCATAAGTGAAGTAACTCAGGAGTTGAAAACCAAACATCATATATTCTCATTCATGTGTGGGAGCTAAGCTATGAGGATGCAAATGCATAAGAATGATACAATGGACTTTGGGAACTTGGGAAGAAGAGTAGGAGGGGCCAAGGGATAAATGACTACATACACATATGTTGCAGTGTGGACTTCTTGGGTGATGGGTGCACCAAAATCTCACAAATTACTAAAAAACTTACTCATGTAACCAAATGCCACTTGTACCCCAATAACTTATGGAAAAAATAAATTAGTTAATTTAAAAAATATGAATGAGAATGGTCATAATATGTAGCCAGCTGAAGTCCCAAATAACGTGGGAAGTCTTAATGTTTGAGAATCTCATTCCATTTCTTATTAAACTCCTGGAGCAAAGAAAATTACATATATCTTATCAGAGTATATCAGCAATTTTGACTGGTGTTTTAAACTGTGGTGACTGCCCTAGTGGCTTTTAATTAGTCATCCTGTATCCACCATTTAGGAATTTTATTTTTGCTCTTGAGAGATGTTTAGAAATAAGCAAGAAAAAAGAGCTGAATCGTTCACAGACACATATAAGCAAACCAAAATCCGACCAAGGTAAGACTGTTCTCAAAAATTTTTAAGCCAGGCATGCAGATCAAACAAAATATTAAATTAGACACACAGAATTAATAATGAATTTGACAGAAAAGATATGTCTCAAAGATATAACTTCTGTAGAAATCAGGGATCTCAAACCTGGACACTTGACTTTATGCAAGAATAGACTTGCCAGAAAAGACAAGAAGTCCTTTGTTACCTCAGGAGGGTTGCAAGGTTCTTTATTAAGGCAGCCTTATCCAAATTAGATTCTGAATAACGGAAGAGCTTCAACCAAAAAATGGAAGGCTCAGTGTGACAGAAGACTCACCAAGGCAGAAAGGCAGGCTGTGGAAACAGAGTTCAAAGGGCTCCAGTGAGTACTGTACGCTGATTCCAAGAACTGTTAATTCCTTCTGAAGGTGACCTTATATAAGATCCCACTTCTGACACCATTTTGTTAACCTACATAACAAACATAGAGAGGATGTCTAAAAGAAATGACATTTATTCAGAAATAAATAAGGAATTGGAATGGGAAAACTCATGCCATAGTATACTATGTGTATAGACAGGAAGGTAAAAGAAGACAAACGTTTTTAAAGAGGAGAATTATGTAATTGTTTTGAGATAATTATCTTTGGTGGCACCAACCCAGTTTGGGACAGACAGTTGCTGGGCAGATGTCCTCAGAGAAGGATTGTTTGTGTAAGGTTGTGTTGACCTTTGTGCAAGACTGGTTTTTACCAAGTCCTTTGTAACAGTTTTTGTTATTAGGCATTCAAGCATGAAAACCCTCCCTCTTGGCCTTTCCTTGCTTTTATGGGAGCCATTATTCCATCTACCACGCATACCTGAACTAAAACCAAACCAAAGGAAAAAGACATTCACCAAAATAGTTAGTACTGAGTAAAGGGAAAAATAAAAAAACCAGAATATTCACATTTTGGTGAATTCTTTATTAAAATCAGGGAGACTAAGAAATGTTTGTTTTTGCACATTAATAGTGATTATCAGTTTTACTGTTTTAATTTTAATACTCAGATTTAAATGTTTTCAGTAATAATCTATAATGTAAGTACGTCTACGTGTAGGTACAACAATCTGTATTGAAATGAAACTATGTCAATTAGGCTCCCAGTTTTACAAAACTCTGCAGGAAAAACATTCACACACCCAAGGCAAAGTATACAAAGTAAAATACATATGTTCTCATACATCCAAAAATAGAGCACAACTACCATATTTTATTGATAAGCATTTGAATTTTGGCAACGCATGGGCTTTAGAAAACCAACTTTATTCCCAGTGAAATACGTTACATTGCTCCTAAAACTTATGAGTAATATCGGTTACTAGAAATAAACTCTGTGTGGTGTGCACAGTTAACTGGTCTTGCAGGGAATCATTTATATTTTTGTAGCTTTCAAAATAAATTGGCCTCCTTTCAGGGCTTCATATTTAAGGCCCTTTTTGTTCCCAGAAGCAGCAGTGCTCCTAGTAAGGTCCTGATTGACTGAAGCAATTCAAAGGTCCCTAAGAATTAAGTGGCCATTGACTCTGAAGCAGCCTGCCATCAAAACCAGATGGGAACCAGCTAGGAGTTATTCTGGATTTTACATTCCCTCCTCACCTCTCCAATAAAATATCTGTCAATATTCTACCTCCAAAACAGACTGAGATTTTGAGTTCATCTACTTTTCTCCATTTCCACTTTCACTTTCCTTGCGAAAGTTGTCATTCCTGTTGCAGACTACTGCAATAACCTCTTACTACTGGTCACCTTTCTTCCATTTTTTGCTTTTTTCATATCCGTACTTTACAGAGCCTAAAATGATCTTTTTAAAAAGCAAATCAAATGAAAAACTATAAATTTCTTAGAAGATATTAAAATAGGAAATCTAGATAACCTTGGGTATGGCAATGACTTTTTAGATACAGTACCAAAGATACAATTCATGGAAGAAATAATTAATATGATAGATTTTGTTAAAATTACAAACTTCTCTGTGAAGATACCATCAAAAAAATGAGAAAAGAAGCCACAGACTGGGAGAAAATATTTGTAAAAGACATATTTGATAAAAGAGTGTGATCAAAATATACACAGAACTCCTCAAACTCAATAATAAAAAGTCCAATTTAAAATGAGCAAAAGTCCTGCATTAAAACATGACTAAACCCGAACTAAAACGAAAACACCTCATCAAAGAAGACAAAAAAATGGGATAGCAGCATATGGAAAGATGCCCAACATCATATATTATTAGGGAACCGCAAATTAAAACAATTGAAATACCGCTACATACCTATTAGGAAGGTCAAAATTCCAAACACTGACACTGAATGCTGGAAAGATGTGGATTGCTCTGGACTAAACATTTGTGTTCCTTCCCAAATTGATATGTTGTAATCCTAATCTCCGAAGTGACTGTATTGGGAAACAGGGCCTTTGGGAGATAATTAGGTGATGAGCATGACGCCTTGATGAGGGGATTAATGCCCTTAAAAGAAGAAACACAAGAGAGCTTGCTTTCTCTTTCTCTCTTCACCATGTAAGGATACAAAAAGAAGACAGTTGTCTGTAACCAAAGAAGAGGGTTTGTAACAAGAACCTGATCTTGTTGTCACGTTGATCTCAGACTTCCAGCTTCCAGAACTGTAAGAAATAAATGGCTGTTGTTGAAGCCACCAAGAATATGGTATTGTGTTATAGCAGCCCACACTGACTAAGACAGGAAATAGGAAAAAACCAACTCTCATTTATTGCTGGTGGGAATGTAAAATAGTTGAGCCACTTTGGAAGGCAGTTTGGCAGTTTCTTAGAAAACTAAACAGAATCTTGCCATATGATCAAGCAATCATGGTCTTTGATAGTTACCCAAAGGAGTTGAAAACTTACGTCCACATAAAAACCTCCACATGGTTATTCATAGCAGCTTTATCCATAATGCCCAAAACTTGGAAGCAACACAGACATCTCTCAGTAGGTGAATGGATAAATAAACTGTGGTACATGCAGGCAATGTAATATTATTTGGCACTAAAAATTAATTATCATGCTATGAAAAGGCAGAGGAAAGTTAAATACACATTTCTCAGTGAAAGAAGCCAATTTGAAAAGGCTACATAGTATATGATTCCAGCCCTAAGACATTGTAAAAAAGACAAAACTATGGAGACAGTAAAAAGATCAGGGGTTGCCAAGAGTCAGGGAAGAAGGAGGTATGAATTGGTAGAATACAGAAAATTTTTAGGTGAGTGAAACTATTCTGTATGGTAATATAATGATGGATATGTCATTATACATATGCCAGAATCCACTGAGTAAACATCCAGAACCCTGATGTAAACTATGGACTGTAAGTGATAAGGATGTGTCCATGTAGATTTACCCATTGGAAAAATTATAGCATTCTGCTGAGGGATATTGATAGTAAGAGAGGTTGTCTCTGTGTGGAATACGGAGTGTTAGGGAATTCTGTATTTTTCACTCAATTTTTCTGTGACTGTAAAACTGCTTTAAAAATTGGCTGTTCTCTTTAAAAGCAGCAGCTTTTTAAAAAATTATAAAGTATAAATAAAATGATTAAAATAAAAGAGTAAAAGAACAAAATTAAAATTATAAGGTTCAGTGCCGAGCCAGCACTTGCATAAAGCTGAAAGCAGAGCCTGCCTGTATTTTGTGCCCTGGGGGCTCACTGGCCTCGCCCTAGCCTGGCCCTGAAGTGGAAACCTGATCTTCACTAGCCATTTCCAGTGCCACAGAAAACTGCAAAGAGACTGACGTGGTATGACTATCCAGGTTCTCAAAGTCTTGGAAAACGTTGGTAGTGGTGATAACGACGATGACTATAAGCTTCAGGAGAAGGTCTTCCTCCCAAAGAATAGATAAGAACTTCAAAGATTAATTGGAGAAAGACATTTGTTAGTTACACTACTAATCCAAAAAATCTCCTGGGAATGCCGTGACTTTAAGGCTAAAGATGAAGATTTTATGTCAAGAGTCATGCCTATTCTGGACCTTATTATAGATTATCATGTCATTGAGCTCTTGCCTACAGCCAGTCCCTTGTGTTGGAATCTCTCAGACCCCAACCTGGCTACCAAGATTTCCAGACTTGGAATTTATTATTAATGATTATTGTTATTTTAAAAACAGAATTACTACTGTAGGTATTTTAATTTCCCAGTCAGTACCAGGCTAAAAAAAAAAAAATATTTTCTTAGTTCTAGGATCCTAAGGTGTGACTGTCTTTTACCTTTAGAGTGACACAGCAATGTGTAATTTTAAAAACTATCTATAAAAAGGGGCACCCGAAGAGAATCCTACTTTTTGAAAAGTATTATACCATCATCATTACTAATATTCAAAGAGTACACAGCACTCTAAAACACTGGTAATTCAGAAATTCTCTAAAACAGCAGTTTAATAAATTGAATCAATTTGGTACTTCAAAATGTGTTTTTTAAATGAAGATCTTACTCATGTTAGTAAATAGGAAAAGCAACCATGACTCTACTTTTATTTTTTTTTTTTTACTTCTGCATGAGCAATTTTCATGTTTCATTTATCACCAGAGCATAGCACACTGTAGCCAAATCACAATTTGGAACTAAAAAGTTGGAAAACTGCATGTGGAAAATTCAAGGCAAATTATAGTGTGATTATTTTGTTAGGCTCATTTGGTTGCAGAAAATGAGTCTGCATGCCACCTGATGTAATGAGGGTGTATTATGGAATATATGTGTGTGTACATATATATTTTATATGTATATATATATATATT